AGAGTAGCGCCGAGGAGACCAGGAGGAGGGTCTGGCTGACCGACAATGAGATTGGGACACCAAGGGATGAGAGTAGGACCTGCCTTGGGATCCTCCATGCAGTGGTGACCATTGTTTCTTCTCCGGCAACTGGCGGTGCTCCCCCACCTGCTGAGGGGCCTTAACGGCGGGCTTGCCCTTTCGGGAAGCCTTAGCCTGCCCTGCGGCACCGAAGTCATCATAGAGGCAGGTGGAGACATGCTCTCTCTGCGCCTGGGCTTGGGATGACGATGGTGCAGGCAGGGTTGCGAGTCCCATACTGCTCCCAGGAGTCAGTGGCAGACCTTTAAAGGGGCTAAGAGCCCCAGCCGTGGAGGCATGCTCACACGGCTCCGGCGAAGGCTGGCGAGCAGGCCCAGGTCCTTTCCTGGATGACCTCTGGGCCTTCTTGCTCGGTGCCGGAGAGTGCTTCTTAGCCCTCATTTTCGGTACAGGCAACGGTGATCGCTGTCGGGAAGAGGCCAGTGAGGCAGAGGCGCTCGGTGCGGCCTGCGTAGAAGGCTCGGAAGCCGGGTGGAGGGCGGACTCCATCAGGAGAGCCATGAGGCGAATATCCCTCTCCTTTTGGGTGCAGGACCGAAAGTTCCTGCAGATCTGGCAACGCTCTTTAATGTGCGACTCCCCCAAGCACTTAAGGCAGCTGTAACGGGGGGTCACTCACAGGCATAGGCGTGCTGCAGTCCGAGCAGGGCTTAAACCCGGGAGCCCGGGGCATGCCCCGCTCTGGGGCAAAGTCCCCACTGGGACCCTGACTATTAACTAACAAACACTTAAGAACTACTTAATAACTTCTTAACACTATCAACAATGTACAAGAGGCCCGAAGGCACGAAGTCCAAGGGAAGAAAACCGCTAGCTCTTGTCAAGCAAGAGAGGCGCTCCGACTGACACCACAGGCAGTAAGAAGGACCTGAGAGGACATGGGCCAGTAGTGCCTAATATACCATGGCATGAGCGTGGCACTCTAGAGGGTGCCACAGCTTGCCCTACAGGTACCGCTAAGGCAAAAATCTCTGATGGCGGCGCATGTGGGCGCACGCTCACCTAGAATGGAATCAACATGAACATCAACATGAACAAGCACTCGAAGAAAAACCTGGCCTTGCACATCTGAAAGTTCTGCAGTCACTGCTCATCATCCCAAGCCTGCATTAGGAGGCGATCCCACCAGTCAGAGCTTGTTTCTCCACCATCTGCAGCTGCTCTACAAATGCCATCAACAACCTGGAATTGGTTCTTGCTTTGTCCCACAGCAATCTGTCTTCCAGGAAATCATCATGTTCCCGGCTGATTCAGTTCTTCTTATGGCTCTGCAAATACTGGAGGATCATGTATCCTGTGCTTGCAATGCTCAGGACAATAGTGCAGAGCTGTGCAGGTTCCATGCTTCTGCCAGAGTAGGCAGACAGCGAGGACTGCATGGGTTTGTGAGATTTTTAAACAAGGCGTGAAAATTATGGGATATATAGATGAAATTATGGGATGGAGACACTTGCACTCTGGGACGTTATCCCCTTGCTCCCAGTCACCCCCATGTGACTAGTTTCTGCCCCATCATGCATTGCCAAAACTTCCCAAAAGACAGTGCGCTGGATGGTGGTGGGTTGCACACTGGGATACCTACCCATGGTGCACCACACTGCGCATTGGCACAAGCACTCCTGGTGAGTACACACAGCACCAACACAAGGAGCTAAGTATGCACTTGCACAAGCGATATACTAACCACAGCAGCTTTCTGCAGACATAACTTGTGTCGACCAAACTGTGTAGTGTAGATATGGCTTAAGAAGTGCTTGTGAATGCCTACCTGGAGAACCAAACTCTTTGACTAATGAGATTGTGATTTGATTTCCTCTAAGGGGCTAGTAGGTGGCATGCCCTCTGTTGGGGTAACTCTTAAGTGTCTGAGACCCCAGTGTGATGATTGCAACCCTACCTGTGCAAAAAAAACCATTGATAAAACATGTCAGCTTTAAGAAAAGCTGTTTCTTTTCCAAGGGAGGAAGTGTGCTGTTTCTAGGGTACCCCCTAGTCAAATAGCCAGAAACTTGGGTCAGTATAACCTAACCCCACACCTCTATGAGGCACACCAAATGTCAAGGCAATCCAAGTAATCATACAGATGTTAGAGCACTTAGAATCAAACTTTAAAAAGAAAGCTCATTTTAACCTTAACTATAGCAGTGCTGGCACTCCACTATAATAGGCTGCAAGTACAGCAGGGAATGCTTAAGGTAAAACAAAATAGCATCTATTATTTTAAAAAACAAAACAAAAACCTACACATAGGTTGTAAATATTACATTTTGTACATTTCCTCCTTCCCCAAGGACCAAAATTTTGGTCCAAATTACGTGATTATGTCCAAAATTGGGGACCATATCCTGCTCTCAGATACACACACAGCTCTCATCAATTTTCATAGATGAGCAAGAGCATATGAAGGCAAAATTTGGTTTGGCCCTTAACGTGAAGAAGAATTTATGTGTTCCAAGCATAAAGGTTTGTATTGGCAAAGAGTATATAGTACAGACCACAGAGGATATGAGAACTTTTAGACTATTTTTGCCAATGTGCATTACTGTTATTTATCCAACTTTAAATTTCTACTACCATCATGCTGCACAGTCCCCATAAATGTTCATCCTCTTGGAGTGTCACACCATTCTTCATACTTTCTACTAACTGAAAACAACTTCACCAGTACATTTCAATCCATCATGCAGTCCCTGTTCCAGTTCATGAATACAATAAAATACAGGCTCATATATGAAACTAGTCATAAGACACCACCACTATTAGTCCCAGCAAAGTTGCTTTGTTACTTGAGCTAATCAGCAACCTCACATCCAGCATCTGATACAATAATTCTGTTATGACCTAGTAATGCTATTTGGTTACTGATGTCAATGGGTATATATCTAAAACTAGGCAAAATACAAACACTACTAATCAGGACTTTCAAAGGAGAGGCTAAAATAAATATTTAGATGTGGTACCGTGAATCACTTACAATGTTAAATTTTGCTTTCTTTTAGCTTTGTACATGTAAACACTTCATCTGTTCTGTAATAATATGGCTGTAATTTTTCCATATATTAATGCACAAGTTGCCATTTACATATAAAAGAATCCAATTAACCAACAATGCAAATCAAATCGGTTTTGTTTTTAAACAGCAAGTCTGTTTGCTCATTAATAAGTGTTTTGCTTCATAATGAAAATAAATTTATCATAATGTAAGAAGTCTGCTAAGATTCTCAACAGCAGAGATGCTAAGGAGTATCCTACAATTAAATACACACAAATTAAATGTAATACCTTTCTGTATTTTGGGATTTGACTGAACTTCCAGGATCACTGTTGTTACAGTGTCTGCATACATATCATTTGCAGGATTTGCCACCCACTGAAAAATAATAATAATTAATAATAATACTCTGGTAATAGCATAATCTGGACTGAATGAATAATACAACATAAAAATGTCATAACAGCCATGAAATTCTCTTGACTCTATACTCTGATTTGTGCTGAAGAGGCTAACTTCCATAGCCTTGGATACATTTTGCACTATATTAATTTTAAAAATAAATATAACTTTGTGAATTGAAAATGGAGTCACCTAGAAGTTCTCCATTCCTCACCATGACACATTCTCGGATTCCAGAGACTCCTTCTCCTTTGTTTTCACTCTCTTTGGACACACTAGAGGGATTACTATCAAACGATCTGAGACGCTTCTTCGGGAAATGAACATAGTCTTGGCATTATTTTCAACTACTATTTGCCAGGGAGAATATGGCACTGGGTCTGAAATTTGGACCACTATAGAATTGCTCTATTACTTTTAAAGCATTTCTACAGTGCTAGTTAATGACTAGCACTGATAGGCAAGTGCCTCCTCAGAAAGGTGTTAGTAAAGTTTCTCTCTAATACTAGTGGCAAGAATGGTTATGCTTACACATCAAACCTCCTGGGGTATCTAACTGCAGTGAAGAAGTGAAATAAACATTTTAAAATGACACATATCAGAGTAAGATGATCACTGAAGGAAACTTTACCAGTGACCTTACACCTTTAACTTGATACCCAGCACAAATAACTTAATGATCTCTCATTTAACTCAGCACCAAAGCCACTGTCCGTGACATTGGTTTCTACAAAACAGGGAATGGAAATTTTCTCTCTCCTCCTTTTCACACTTACCTCTAATACCACCATGCCAGGTTCCTGGATCACAGTAATATTTCTGAAAACTTTCAAGGCTGGCTTTTGCTGGATTTCAATTTCCTCTACATCACCTACAATGTGGCAAAAATTGCTTAATGAGAGCAAATTACATAGCAACAAAAGTTATTATAAATCAGAGTACCTATATTTGCACAGGAAAATATATCTGGTTTAAACAAATGCTGAAGGATTTAAAACCCTTCTATTTCAGTGGGGTTCTCTGTTTTAGAGTGTGTGGGCCATATATATGCAATCCATTTCTTCCCCCTCAAACACATACTCCTCCACACACTCCATGACACTTTTTGGCTTTTTAGTGTGTAATACTGGCCATATTAGCTGTTCTAGTTGATATGTTTTAATAGTGCAGTGCATTAACTAAAGCACACCAGTAGAAAAAAGCAGTTTAGTGCTAAATTCACAAAGAAAGTAGGTGTAGTGATGCCACCTCCCTCATAACTGGTTCAAAGTCCCTCCTTCACCTGAAGGGGAGAAAGGATTTGAACTCTGATCTCCCACTTCTCAGGTGTGTGCCCTAACCACTGGGCTATAGGATATTCTGATGTGGAGCTACCTCAGGGCTAGTCTACACTGGCAGCACTTTAATGTGGCTTGTGTGGTCGTGGCAGAGCGCTGGCGGAGAGGTCTCCCAGCACTCTAAAAAACCCACCTCCACGAGGGGTGTAGCTACCAGTGCTGGGAGCACTATTACTTGTCTTATCCTCTAGGTCTGAACTAACTGATCGTTTAATAATTTGTTCCAGTATTTTTCCACATATCAAAGCTAGGCTGACTGGTCTGTGATTTTCTGGGTCTTCCTTTTTCAATATAGCTACTGTTTTCTCCAGTCCTCCGGGACTTCACCCATCCTCCATGAGTTCTCAAAGAAAATCATTAATGGTTCAGAGATTGGGTTGGCTAGTTCTTTAAGTACTCTTGGATGAATTTCATCAAGCCGTGCCAACTTGAATACATCTAACTTGTCTGAGTATTCTTTAACCTGTTCTTTCCCTATTCTGGCTCGAGGCCCTTCTCCCTTGTTGTTAATATTAATTGTGTTAAGTATCTGGGCACAATTAACCTTGTTAGTGAAGACTGCTAGAAAGATGCTAGATCTCACAAATACCAAGTTTTATAACCTGTGTAGAAAACAACACATTGTAAGAATATTTTCTTGTGTAAAAAGTAATGTATGGAATTGTAAAGTAGCCAAGCAAATAGTAAAGTGGCCCGAAGAGCCTCAGAATTAAATGAATGTAAATCATGCAGTCAGATACAACAAACAAAGGTTGAGATTGTCAAAGAAATCTAGGAGATTTAGACACATCTTCCATTATTTTAACTAAAATATTTACAATTAAATAAACAACCTGCTTCTATCTTTATCTTCTAAAAAAAAATTAGACTTTAAGGTTGACTGATTCTTTTCTCAAGAGGAAACTAAGTAAATGGTGAGATATATGACTATCATTTTTAGCCCATCCCAGTGGATGTACAATACACTTACTAAGCTGCCAAGGAAGAAAAAAAAAATTGATTTTCTTTGCCCTTGTTTTATACCCATTTCTCATTCTGGAGTAAGTGTCTCAGCAAGCAGCATCCAAAAGGCAGGACTTATAATTTGCTCACTATTTCACTGACAATTTGGGAAGGTGTGCTTCCTGTTTTGGTTAATCACTTCTTCCTCAAATAATTATGAACCCCAGGATCAAATTCCTTAAGCTTTTATACATATGTTGTCTACAAAGTTAAAGAAAAAAAGCACTAGAAATACAGACTAACACATCAGAAGGAGCCTCCATATAGTTGGATGGTGGGTCAGTGCTTGTTGCGCCTCTGAAGCCGGGAGAGGGAGAGTTGTGGCAACTGGGAGGCAGGGCAACCTTGCCACCAGTTTCAGGCGGGTTTGTACTCGGCATGGCTCAGCCGTGCCTCTGCTGCCATTACCTGTGCTACTGTGGTTACATTACTATTTATACTCATGCTAGCTCACTGCACACTAGTAGGGGAATCACATTACTGGCTTGCAGTGTAGAGACAGCCTTGGAGACGACTTCTAGTGGCAAGAGAAGGATGCCAGTGAGAATCTAACGAAGCTTGTGAAAATTTGCAATAAATTATTAATAGCTTAGTTAGTAAGAGGATAGCAGAATTTACCACTCAGATTTCCCCAAGAAATAGAATTAAAACAAAACAAAAACCTTTAAAGAAATGACAATAGATCTTGAACATCTCTTTTCAAATGCACACACCTGTCAGTTTCTGTAGCTGGTAATAAAGCAGATTGAAAGGGCCAGAATACGGAATGGCTTGTGTCTGTGTTACAGTGCTCATAGCCAAATCAGTGTAATCTGAAGGAATTAAAAAAGAAAAGGAAGTTAGTCCTTTAAAAGATACTTTCTAAAAAATAGATTTTTCAGTGCTGAGAAATGGTGGCTATTGTTGGTTCCAAAAGTTTACATACAGTTGGCAGAAAACAGAAAAACAAAACAAAAAACCCAGATGCCGTTTACAAGAAGAAGATTGGGTCTGTAATTAAGGCATGGGCAAGGCCCTGTATTTTATGTGGCACATTAGATGTAAATTATGCAGCAGGGATGCACTGTCTCCTACAAGTCCCCTTGTCCTCACTGTCCTATTCAATCAACTTATTGTTCCTTGTATTATTTATTTTGAGAATACATTTAATTCAAATAATGCTTTCTGCACATTTTAAGTTTTCAATTTGCTGAAAATTTTTGTACTGGAAACTAATAAATGCATTTTAGAAGCTGTCATGGGAAAGCTTGCTTCGACAACTGGCCAGGGCCCACCTCCACCATCTATGGTATTTTTGACACCCATACAGGAATGGGAGGTGGTTTTGGTTTTTGGTACCAGGGAGGGAATGCATTTTTTTCTCTCTCCGTTTTTGGGCAGGGACAGAGGAAGGGTTTGAATTCCTTGTTTCTCACTCCAGCAACCAACGATAGCAACTAGTTGCCCTACTGCCCCGCCTTAATATCTACCCCCAAATCCAACTATGACAAGTAAACATATTAGTTTGATGTTTCTGCTAATGCGATCAGCTGTGAAATTGTTGAAGGTGACAGACTTCACCCACTGAAATGAACGGAGCAGTTAACTTCGTCGGTCTCAACCTCGTTTCAGACTTTCTGCAAATTCAGGTTTGAGAAGTTGTTCTGAAAGCTGTAATTGTTTGTTGTTGATTCTATTTATGCACCATTCCTTGCACCATACCAAACCCAAACTTTACAATGTTGTCCAGTTATACACAATGAAAACTCAGATGTGTGGCAGGGCAAGTGGTGCATAGGTTAAGGCCATACAAAAAACAAAAACAAAATGCTGGTCTTTAATTCATAGATTCAGTCCAAGGCTTAAGGTTACCATCTGCCATTGCAGGAGGGAAAGGAAAATAGTGGCAGAAAGCTTACAAATGCCAGTGTTCTTTACCCATAAACCCTCTCTATCAGTTTGAATGGTCTCTGACAGGTATTTCATATTACAAACATTCCTGTACTGCTGTAAATAACCCATATCAAGCAACTTTTCCCCACACTGAGCCTAAATAAAAGTTTAAAAATTGATGTCAGCCAATTACTGATCACACAGAGATTGTAGAAACATAATGCATCAAATATAAGGTCCTATACATCTTTTGCCTTTAAAACAGGAAACTCAGATTAGTTACTGAGCACGACAGTATGTCATCTTCACTTACTTGAGAGGTCACATGGAGAAAGGATGTGATAGTTAAAGTTTCTTTTAACCAGGATCCCTGAAACACGCTGTCCTTGCTCTGGCTTTTTATCTGCTAAAAACCCCATCACCTGTCGAAAAGAGAAAAATCAAAATTGTTACAGGGAAAACTGAAGCTGTGGTGGCTGGAGGTTAACTCTGCAGATGAAATGCAGGCTCCTTTTTAAACAACTGAAGATGATATCACCACTGGAAGCTCACAACATGGCTATCTTTGATAGCAAGCACATTTCAAAGGCACAACACAACAGAGAGATTTGGAGAACAGAATGATATTCAAATCTTGTGACATATTTCATTTACAACAGCTGTCATATAGAACATACATGCATGGTCTACTTAACACACAAGTGATGAGAAGTATATATATGGTCAACTGATTCCCATAAAGAATCAGAGCTGCAGACTTTCTAGTTTCTCAGCCAAAGCAAGCGACATCATAAGTACTATCAACACATTTTTCATCTCCTTTGTTTATGGTGTTTGGTGTCACTAACTGGCAGAACAACAAGGAAGCCTGTGGATCAGATTTCTCAGGCTCTTACTATGGTATTTTTATTACAATTCAACACCAATTATATCTTAAACAGCAGCCATAGATGCTTTTCCACTTCTGAAATCTTACAAACAAGCGTCTGACTTTTAGCATAACCCTTGCAGGTAACTATTATGTCCTTCAAGAACAGCACAATGTGTATTATGATGCAAGTTTTAGGACTGCACCTGCTAGAGAGGGATGCTGGGAATTCATAGATACAGAAGTCCAGAGATTACCTTCACTATTATAGATTCTCTGTACAAACTAATGTACATTATATGTCATTACCTTCATTTTCTTTCTATATTTTCCTAATTTAGATTGTAAGCTCTTCAAAGACAAGAACCTTGCCTTTCAAAAAAAACATCTCTAAAGTGCTGTGTGAGAGTGCAGCGGTTTGTATAAATATCTACTACCAAAAAAATAATAATATACCTAGAATCATACAGATAACCTTTAAGTAGACATATTCTATGAGGATTATTTCCAGAAGAGCATGCATACAAATAATGTATGTGTGCATATTGAGTATACGCTATATACTCCACCCACCTCTGAGTCTAGAAATACTTGGTCAACCGGCTGGAAGAGGTCAATTGATCCTGCCCCATGGAAGTCTATGTGATTTTTGCCATTGATTTTGTTGGGAGTGGGATCAGATGCTTAATGAATACCATTTATTCATTTTTCAAAAACTCCTTCTTTAAATCTTTATGTAACATTTAAAAAAAATTAAAGGCTGTATTCAGCAGAGAGAAAGTTGGTTATATAACAATTTCGGACAAACTATCAAAACAGTGTCTACAATAGATTTTTGGGGGGGAATAAATGAAAAATGCTGATTGATGAATATATTTTTCTATATGTACCACTGTAAGGTCACTTGTGCACAGTTGCTCTCAGCTAGTCCAATATTCACAGCTTTTATTGCAAGATTTAACATTGCATCAAATAAAGTTGTCATTTGTCATAACTCCCTTCATTCTGCAAGAGAGTCTAGAACACTGGAGATTCATTAACTGTCAAGAATACCTACTATATCCAAATTTAAATCTTTGTTTTTCAAGAAAGATCTTTAGGTAAAATATATTATCTTTGGATTCCCTTTGTAGTTTCACTATCATGTTCCAAAAAGCAGAAAAAGTAACCAGTGCATATAATATCTTCTGCTGGATAATCCCATTTTTAACATGTGTCATCCCATCCCTAAAGTATCTAGAGATGGGAGACATTCAAGAATGTTAATTTTAAGAGAGTGTCTGAATGGAGTCAGCAAGTGTTATTTAATCCAGCCAAAATATATAGTCGTTTATTTTTTCTCTCTCTCTTTTTCTGTATTTTTTATATTACACACACAGGGTCTTTTTGAGGTGTGTGGGATTTTACTAATGGTTTCCTAAATTGCAAATGAAATCTGTTACATCATTCATTCCATAAATGTCAGTGACCTGACACTACAGAGATTAGTGTACTATTCTTTGTTAAGAGATTATCTAGGGCTGCTGTCCTGGAACACGTTCCATATGGAATGAGATCAAGAGACTGAAAGCATTGGCAGACTTGTCCGTATCAGCACAGACAGTGGCAGACTGAAAAAAAATAGTGTTTACACTATGTCCCTCTCATAGTATACTGAAGTCGTCCAGAAACACAATCTGAAATTGATTAAAAGCAGGCATATTCTTGAAGGAAAAACATAACCCTCATCAAAGATGTGCTATGGTTAAGAAAACATCAATCGTATACCTTGGCAAGTTTTTCTCCTCTGAAGTTTAATGTCACAGCCTCAGTATTCCTAGGATTGTGAACTTCTATGTGAACTTCATCGTTATCCTCATATTCTCGTATCAATGCTGCTTTCAATCTGGCCATTTCATTCTGCTCACCATGCACTAAAATCTACAAGAGACAGTTTCACACTTAATAAGGGGTATGCTCTCAAAACAGGTGCACTTTATTAAATAAATCATCCAAGAAAGTTGCTGCTTTCCTGTGCATCATGTTTAAAAATATATATAATTGTCTTGGGCCACCAATATAGGTAATGTCAACTGTACTACACTGTGGTCAGTTCCACATTTGCCTTTGTATTCTATCCATTATAGTTTGCATTATAAAAGTGCTCAGATACCACGATGAGTGCAGGTACAAAAATCTACATAGATTTCACTTATTTTAATACATGGACTAACTGCTAGTATTTTGTTATGAAAAAGGAATTTATAAAGTTCTTCAGTTTAACTAGAAAAGTCACAGTTAGCCATGTTTATATACATTTGTATGCAAGGCACACGTATGCATATAGATTCATGAACTGCTCATGAATTTAAACTTTAAACTTCATTAACATGAATAAGCTTATAAATATCTCTGCCAAGTTCAGCTTCCTTTTCCTCTGCTTCTCCCTTTCTTGAGAGGAGCTGCTGGCACAGATATTCCTTTTCTCCCTATTCTAGGTTCCAAATTCTACTTCTCATTTTCAAAGCACCTTATAACTCTGTCCCTGCTCTCATTGCCTCCTGCTCCCAGTGCTTTGCTCAAGCTTCTCCCTGACTGTTCCCCTTGTCTTCAGTGGCATCGCTACACCTCCTTTCGCATTGCCCTGGTCACTTGGAACAAACTCCATCGCAAATAATTTTTACTAAATAACCTCCTGCTTATTCTTCCAAAATATCTGGAAACCCATCTATTCCATGATTCACTTTGGCAACAGTGACTAGATGCCACATTGTATTTGTTCTGTAGTGTATCTTATAAGTAGCCACATACATAGAACTTAACTGCCGCAACAGGGTATAGAGTAACCTCATCTCAGGGAAGTCACCACAACACATCCACAGCAGTGCTGCAAATCAACCAGGTATTTAAATTTTGCTGGTGTAGCATGGTGAGAAGTATTTTGCCTACCTTTGAAGCAGCAAGGACTGGGCACTGCCAGAGGCACTATACTAGATTTGATGAACCAATGACACAACCTATATTCCTAAGAAATAATGAACATGCACACTAACCACATGCGGAGGTTTCAGTGCCCTGATAAACTCGCTGGTTTGTTGGTAATCCGTGTGAGCAGAGAAAGAAATGTAGTCTACAGACATCTTCAGTGGGAGCTTCTGCCCTGACATAGTTGTGATCTCTTCAGGTTCAGACATTATGTGCTGTCACAAAAGAAAAGTACTCCTTTCGATAAACAAGGTATTTGAAAAATCTTCTACAATATATCCAGTTTTTCACTTTTCAGAACCAGAAAAATAACTAACTATCTGCTGTTGGTTTAAGTGGTAAATAGTTGAACAAATATACATTATAAAACATATACATTATACATACCTGGGATCAGTCATAAAAAAATTAAACACATACTTGCATCCTGTCCTTGCACAGAACATTTAGGACTGAACTTGGCCCTAATACATATGACCATAACTCTCACTGAAATCAATACAAGGTATGTGTATCTATCTCCGATTGCAGAATTGGGTTCTGAGATCCTTTATTGATTGCAACTTCAAAGCAAGTGGAAGTGCTAGGTATCCCAATCTGATCTCTGATGTAAGTGGGAGTTCAGTCATTGACTCGAGTGGGATCAGGATAAGGGCAAAAAATTGAAAGACCACATGGGAGGAGTGAAGGGGAGAAGTATGTTAATCACACTTTCTTGGGACAAGCTACCTGCTAATTTTTTAATAGTATATGGAAAGATTTTTTCATTTAAGAATAGACTGTTACTGAAGATTATCTTCAATTTTACTGGACATTTCATTTGTTTTTGCAGGGTACAATTGGCTTTGGTTGTATTCAGTCATCCATACATGACAACAAACTTATTGTTTAACAAGTTCAAATAAATAATCCAACCAGGGATCACTCCTTTTAACGTAACATATAAACTAACTACCATGACAGTCAAATGGTAATAACTCACCTTGGCAAGTGTTCCTTCAACACAGTACCCTGCTATTATTACTCCATTTCTCTTATCAGTACACCAGCTCTCAAACAATTCTCTGGATAAGCCACTCTGCATCATACCTGGGGAAGCCATAACGACACTGGGGCCAATGTCATCAAAGTGATCCATACTCTACAAAACAAAAAGCAAGAACATCAGTTTGTATAGTTGGTTAAAATAAGTAGAGCCTGACTACATCCCCTGATCCACATGCAAAAAGATCACACTTCATCCTCATGGAAGTCACCTCTTTGACAGCGTTCCTCCCACCTTTGCCCATAAAGGACATTTTATGGATCTCTTCAAGAAGGAAGAGTAAGGGAATGCTCCCCACCCCACCAAACTTAAGCATATCAGGTAGACAGATGAGATAGCCTCAGTACAACTACTGCTATTACTGTATGAAATAATTAATTTATATATTTGAATATTTTAAATTACGGAAGTATGGTTAGCGCTGCCTTATTTATTTATTTCAGATACACTCCAAAGAAAGCCTTATATTAGGCAAGAGTATGATTTTATATTTGTTCCAGAAACGAAACTTAAATCCCCCATAAACGTTCAGTTGAAGTACCTGTTCTAAGGTCAGACAAGTATAGCAGTGGCCCCACCACCCAAAGAGTACTACTGGGGGAATTCTGCGCCACTGCACAGAATTCATGTCCCCCGCAAATTTCTTTGCTTCCCTGCAGAAAAATGACTTTCTGATGTGGAAGCAAACGGAAGTCACAAAAGTGGTCATGCAACCCTCCCCAGCAGTATGTTTCAGGTGCCCAGGGCAGCCATCAGAGAGGTAAATCACTGTGGGGCAAGGGGCAGGACTGGGAAAGACCTGGCTGGTGGCTCCTACCCTGTGCCAGGCTCAGCTGCTAGTCCTGGTTGGGAATGACGGGACTTCCTCTTCCTCTGCATGGCATCCAGCATCAGACCCACTCCCAGATTTCTCCCCTGGCTGTAGGAAGCTCTGCAAACTCCCCACCCCCACCCCCACCCCCAAGCTTCCTGCACCCATCGCTCCTCAGCTGCCGGGGGAGGGATCTCTGTATAGGGAGCTAACTCCCCCATCCGCCCAACCCCAGTGCATCCAGAATTTGCAGAATTTTAAAATATTGTGAGCAGAACTTTTATTTTTTTGGTGCAGAATGGCCTCAGGGGTAAAATAGGAGAGATCCCAGTGAAATGTAATGTTAGGCAGTGGGCATGCACTCAAGAGGTTAGCCAGAAAACCTTATAGGGAAGCCATACTTGGGATTTCTGTGGAAATTAAGCAGCATAGGCTGGATGTGCATAACCCATCCAGCATTACAGAATGGAGTTTGAAATAACAAAGATATCATTAATAGGAGAAGGCAGATTTATACTGAAAGATTCAGTTATAAAACTCTAAATCAATCAAAGGCTTAAATTCCTAGGAAAGTACACCTACACACTAAACCTCATGTAAATGCAAAGTATTTGATACATCTTACTTCTGTCATGAGACACCCTTTATTTACACTCACCTTCAGATTACTAATGTGTTTGAAAACAAATGGATTGTTGATGTTGATTTGCTTGCGGATCTTGTCATTCATAGCATTTACATATGTCTGATACACTGCCATGCATTTCTTTGCCAAAGAGGAGGCATAGTATATTGGGATGTCATGGAGTTCAGGGTGATTCTGCCAGTATTCATCTAGAGGAAATTTTACAAGGCATAAATATATTAGCAGCTTCCAAACATGCTTTTTTCAGAATCAACATTATTTTATAAAGCCAGGTTTTCAAACATTTCCAGTGCTGTTAGAGACAGGAAATCAAAGTAATAAGACATGTCAACATGCCTCTTTTGACCTTGGCTATTTAGGAAGGGGGGAGGGGAGGGGGAGAGAACAAACCTGAAAAAGAGTAAAGATAAAACAAATCACTAGACAAAAAAGTCAAATCTCGTTTTTTCTCAGTAGAAGACCAGTCAGACTCCACATAACCACCAATTTTCAATCACTGCCTGTAAATATGCATGATGTTACAGAGCATTCAATTCACTTTTATAACAACACTGTTTAAAGAGAAATGAGTTCTAGTGCATTACTGCTAATCAACAGGGTGGCATATCTATGTCAAATGTTAATTATAAAAAACTTACAGCTAGCAACAAAATCTGTAGAGTCTTGTTAGTGAGACTTAATGATATCACCATTAAAAGTTCTTCAAGCCAAATTCACAGATGCATAGAGTTTATGGCCAGAAGGGATATTAGATCATCTAGCCTAACCTCCTGTATACCACAGGCCATTAAAATTTCACCCACTTTCCCTGAGCCCCAATTCTGCCCTAAGTTTCACCTGTGCAACTCTAACCCACGAGCCTAAGAGAGAGATATCTCTTGAAGAGATATATGGGGGGGAGGGGGGCAGAGGGAGACTGGATAGGAGTGAGTTGTATCTGGGTCATTGTTGCTAGCAGAGTTGCACTCCACATCCAGACGTTTCTGGAATTGGGTGTGGTAGTTTTTGGGTTTGCTCCAATAAGTTCCCTGTTGCTGTGGTGGGACTCAATGAGGGCAAGCCATCAGGGCTGCTGCTCTGCAAAAGGCCATGTGAACTGTGTGGGCTGGGAGAAGCTAAGCCCGGGAGCAGAAAGCAGGCTGATTTCCCTAACTCTGAAGCATTTTGCAGCAGGTTAGTGAGTGATATTGTTAACCCTCCGACAGGGAACCATGGGCAGGGTTAATTATAGAAAGGGAAAATTGGGAGGAAAAAATAATTTATTTTAATTGTATACTTTGAATGGTGTTTGATTTTAGCCGAACTGTTTTAGTTAAATTGTCTCAACTAGTATGATTCACCAACTTTTCTTTAAATGTGGAGAAAGTCATTTATATTTTACTATTCTTAGTTTTGTATTTTCTTGTAACAATTTTTTTTTTAAATCTTTTAACTGAGTGATTGATTAATCAGTTAGCTGACTGGCTAACAGTGATTTTAGAAGAGGAAGAGTCTGCCTGGATTCCAACTGAAATTCCTACAAGCAAGTGGAGGGAAGATGTTGCTTTTGACTCAGCAGACTACAGATTTGGTGATCAAAGCCTCTGAGGCCTGGTCTACACTAGGCTTTTATGTCGACTTTAGCGCTGTTATATCGAATTAACCCTGCACCCGTCCACACCCGGAAGCCATTTAGTTCGACATAAAGCTCTCTTTAAATCGATTTCTGTAATCCACCCCAACGAGAGGAGTAGCGCTAAATTCGACATGGCCATATCGAATTAGGCTAGGTGTGGATGGAAATCGACGGTAATAGCTCCGGGAGCTATCCCACAGTGCACCACTCTGTTGACGCTCTGGACAGCAGTCCGAGCTCGGATGCTCTGACCAGCCACACCCCCGGGAAAATTTGAATTCATTTTCATTTTCCTGTCTGGGCAGTTTGAATCTCAGTTCCTCTTTGGACATCGAGGTGAGCTCAGCAGCAGTGGCAACGATGCAGAGCTCTCCAGCAGAGATGGCCGTGCAATCTAATAGAAAGAGGGCCCCAGCATGGACTGATCGGGAAGTCTTGGATCTCATCGCTGTGTGGGGCGATGAGTCCGTGCTTTCAGAGCTGCGCTCCAAAAGAAGGAATGCTAAGATCTACGAGAAGATCTCCAAAGCCATGGCAGAGAGAGGCTACAGCCGGGATGCAACGCAGTGCCGCGTGAAAATCAAGGAGCTGAGACAAGGCTACCAGAAGACCAAAGAGGCAAACGGACGCTCCGGATCCCAGCCCCACACATCCCGTTTCTACGAGGCACTGCATTCCATCCTTGCTGCGGCCGCCACCACTACCCCACCACTGACCGTGGACTCTGAGGATGGGATATTGTCCACGGCCGGTTCCTCAGCGGACGGGGAAGAGGAGGAAGGAGATGAGGAGGACGAGGCAGTCGACAGCGCTTACCAAGCTGATTTCCCCGACAGCCAGGAGCTCTTCATCACCGTTACAGAGATCCCCTACCAACCCTCCCCAGCATGTAACCTGGACACAGATTCAGGCGAAGGATCAAGCGGTAAGTGCTTTAAACATATTAACCTTTATTTTTTACAAAACTTGAATATTAATACTAAGAACAATCTGTGAATCATGATTTCTTCCCCCTGGGCGCTTAAGTAATCAGTAACAACTATTTAAAAAAAAATCAAACAGTGTCCGGTTCTGCATGATTGTGCTGCCCAAGCTGCTCCACTCTTTAGTGCCTGCTACTGCAGCTATATTAGAATCCTGTCTATATGTCCGGGGATAGAGCAGTAGTCCTCCACGGACATCTCCACAAAGCTCTGCTGCAGGTAGTGGGATAGCCTGTTCATCAGGTTCCTGGGGAGAGCGGCTTTACTTGGTCCTCCGAAGTAGGAGACGTTCCCGCGCCAGGAGACAAGCAGGTACTCCGGTATCATTGCCTTGCATAGCATGGCGGCATAGGGCCCCGGTCTCTGCAGGCTTTCTCGAAGCATCCGTTGGATCTCGGTGTCCGGGATCCTCATGAGAGTTATGTCGCTCATGATGACCTGCTTTGAATTAGGTAGGGGACTGTTAGTATTGGGACTGCTTGCAACAAGTTCCTTTACAGAACTGTGACCGCTGGTTTACAGCCACGCGGTGGGGGCGGGAGAGGGGCAGCATACAGGGATCTTTCCCTGGCTCATCCGTGAGGGGGTGGGACAGGGCCAGAGTTCCTGCTTGGCCGATTGCTGGCAGCACAGACTGGCAGTGCTTTCAATGTGAAAGGAGGCCAGTGGTACTCCTACAGTTTTAAGCAGCCACAAGTCTACGGCTTACCATGTTTGCCTGCTACAGAGAGTACCGTGTCCTGCCCCGCTTCCCAGATTGGCAGTGCAAAAGCCCAGGCACTGAAGGCGAGGTTCGAAAATTCGACCTTGTCCGGAGTGCGCATGTGATAGGTGTGGTTCATGGTCTTGTTCACAGAGAAAAACTATGTTCTTGATTCACAACCACATTTATCTTTTGGAGGAATTCACTGCCTTTTCCTCATTCCCACAGCCACATCTGCAACTGTCTCCTAACCCAGCTTGGCATCACACTCCCAGAGGCTAGCGCACATTAGGCGGAGAAAGAAGAAGACGCGAGAGGACATGTTCTCAGAACTAATGGGCTGCTCCTGAGCCCAGGCAGCACAGCAGAATCAGTGGAGGGAGAATTTGTCACAAATGCACCGGACACTCATGGAACGTGAGGAGAGGTGGCGGGCAGGAAGACCAGCAGGCGACTCAAACGCTGCTTGGACTTCTGAGGGAGCAAACGGACACGCTCCGGCGCCTTGTTGATGTTCTGCAGGAACGGAGGCAGGAGGACAGAGCCCCGCAGCAGTCTATCAGGAACCGCAGTCCCCCGCCACCAAGTCCCATACCTCCCTCTCCCAAAGTCCAAAGAAGGAGGGGTGGCAGAGTCCGTGAAAACTCTCACTCCACCCCTGCAGACTGCTCAAGCACCAGAAGGCTGTCATTCCCCAAAATTTGAAAAGTCCTTTCCTGCCCGCCTCACCCAAGCCCCCGTCCGACTTTCACCCCCCAGTTTCCTGTCTGGTTGTTAATAAAAAATATGTTTCTGTTCATTACTGTTTCAGTCAGGTTCTTTTGAGGGAGAGTCTGTCTGGAGGGGGGGAAGGGGCTTGGTAATTGGACAGGACAGTGACCTTTTGCAGGGTAGAGAGGCGGTGTCAGGTCCAGCATCAGGACACATACACAGTGCAGTCACTGGTTACCCTGGTCAGTCTGGGAGGTGTTTTTCATGTTCTGGGGGGGGGGGGGGTTGCTCTGTGACTTTGTGGCGGGGGGGGGCGGTTACAGATCTTATGCAGCGGTCCTTATCCTGGCTCACAGATCCACGCAGCAGGGGATATGTAACCCTACCCCCCCTGCCAGAAAGTCACATAGCCGACACACACACACAGTCCCCACCAGGAGTGCTGGCAGGCTCCATTGAAATAACCAGTCCACCAGTGCGGAGCCTGTCATTCCGGTAGTTTAGAAGCATCATTTGCATCAGAACACTGAACCCGCCCCCCGCCACAGTCTGCGTCCCCGGTTTAAAATATTCCCGCGAAAACAGCAATACAGACAACGGTGTTCATTAACAAAATCGAAATGATTTTATTTTTTGGGAAGGGGAAGGGGGTGAAGGGGGTATGTAACTGGAGAGGATAGTCAAAATGAACTGGGTAAAGAAACGGGGGCAGGTTCAGCTTTTCTGTCCACAAACTGAAAAGTCACTGGTTGCCCTGCTCACTCAGGAACCTAGCTTTCAAAGCCTCCCGGATGCACAGGGCGTCCCGCTGGGATCTTCTAATGGCCCGGCTGTCTGGCTGGACGTAATCAGCAGCCAGGCTATTTGCCTCTAGCTCCCACCCCGCCATAAAGGTCTCCCCCTTGCTCTCACACAGATTGTGGAGCACACAGCAAGCTGCAATAACGATGGGGATATTGGTTTCACTGAGATCACAGCGAGTGAGTAAGCTTCTCCATCTCCCTTTGAGACGGCCAAAAGCACACTCCACCACCATTCTGCACTTGCTGAGACGGTAGTTGAACAGTTCTTTTTCTGTGTCCAGGGCGCCAGTATAGGGCTTCATGAGCCAGGGCATTAGCGGGTAGGCTGGGTCCCCGAGGATGACTGTAGGCATCTCCACATCCCCAAGAGTTA